TTAACAATTTGCATGTGAAATAAAGCCAAACGAACACAAAAAAATTTCAAAATTTTTTTTATTTTTTATTTGTTTTACTTTTTGGCAATCCAAACAAATTCTATTCTCAATTCTAATAAAATTTATTTCTTTAATTGACAATTTTCATGAAAAACAAAGCTAAACGGAAAAGGTGAAAAATTATACCAATCAAACACAATTAATTACAATTCTCAGTAAAACAAATTCTAAACAATTCAATTCCCTGTAAAACATTTTCTTTTCACCCATTTTCCACTCTTGCAATCAAACGCACCCTAATTTTATCTTCTTATTTTCTTCTCTCTATCCCCCCCTCTCTCACTCTCTCCCTCTCCCTCTCCCAACCAACGAAAAATATTGTCGGACCACTGTAGCGACGATGACAAGCGACAATGTCGTGGCTGCAGCGAGTCGTGAGCGAAGATGCCGTCGCTGCACGCCGCGAGCCCTACTGGATTCGCAACAGAGTCTCTCTTCATCCCACCACGCTGTCGGAGTCATGAGCTGTGATGCCGCTATTGCTGCGCATCGTGAGCCCCCAACAAATCCACAGCAACATCTCTCTTTACCCCACCATGCTATCGCTCGACGATGGTTCCTCTCCGCGCGGCGTTCATCCCGACAGTGCTCGAAAACATTCAACTCGACGCACTTAACGACTTTTTCCTCCCGTGCGGCTTTCATCTTCATCGAACAGCTTTTTGGTGCGGCGGTTTAGATCTAATTTGTTGGCGTAGTGGTGTTGGCGATTTTGGATCTAATTTGTTGGCTTTCATCCTCGTCGATCGAAATTCAAATTTTGGTGCTAGCGTTGTGGTGATGGCAAAGTGGTTGTGGAGTGCTGGTGATTTTGGATTTGACGGAGTTGGGGTGGTAGTCACAAATGTTAGCGCAGTTGAAGGTGTTGGGGTGGTGGTCACAAACGATTATGGTACAGGTTGTGTTGGTGGAGGTGATGATGATGATTTTGAAGTTCAAAATGGTAGTTTGTTGGAGGTGATAGTTGTAGTGCCAGGAGGTAGCAATTTTGGTTTGTTTCGGGAGATGTGGTTGATGCGGCGGTGATGGTTATTTTTGATACAAGCAGTGGTGGTAGTTCCGGCGGCAAATTTGGAGTTTTTTTTTTTTTTTAAGAGTGTTGTGGTTGTGGTTGTGGTTGTGAAGTGATAGGCTGGTAGTGTTGTTGGTTGCGATATTTGAGATGACGATTAGGCTACCAAAGATGGTGGTTGTGGTTTTAGCGACGGTGTGGTTGTGGCCATGGTGAGGTGGTGGTGGACATAAATGATTTGATAAAGATTGTTTGTGACCATAGATTGGTTAACGTGTGACCAATAAATAATATGTGATCAATGAAATAGATAAAATGTGACTAATAAATAATGTGTGATTTAAAAATTTGTTAATTTGTGACTAATAATTTGTAACATAAATATAATTTGTGGTCAATTAATTTGATTTTTTGTAATCATAAAATAAGTTGTAACTTATAAAATTTGTGATTTGTGACCAATGAATAATATGTGGCTTATTAATTTGATAAATTTGTGATCATGAAATAATTTATAACATATAAAATTTTAATTATGATCGAGAAATTATTTATATCTAATTAATTCGATAATTTATAATCAAATTGTATAAAATTGTGACCTCATATTTAATTTATAAAATATATTTTTAATTAATTATTTCAAAAATAAAATCCAATAAATATCTGATTTTTGAAATTTTAAACATTTTACCTTAGTTTTGAAATAAATTATAGGGACTGTTTGGTATAGCTTAAAATCCAAT